CAAGAGCCCCAGGTCCATTTAACTCTATGCAAAAGCGACCATCTTCCCGCGTTCGCGATGAATAACCTTCCCACTCTATGCGATCGCAAGCCTCACTTCGCTAACGCGAAGAACAACTAGACAGCCTCCTCAAAACCTTCTACGCGATCGCCCTACGCGATCGCAAAGGGCAAAATTCTGCAACAGCTGAACCTGCAATTTTCTACAATTTCTCAACTTCAAAATGATCCGAATGACCACCCAAAACTCATCTGAGGCCCCCGAGACCACAACCAAAGGCACCAACATATCATAAAACCTTATTCAAACTTGATCCAATCATCAAACACCTCAAACAACATCAAATCAACCAAAACACATCGGATTCAAGCCAAACTTTCTAAAATCTTCCGAATTCCGCTTTTGATTAAAAACCCAACCAACCACGTTCGAATGACCTGAAATTTTGCACACACATCCCAAATGACACGACGAAGCTACTGCAACTCTCAAAATTCCATTTCGACCCCTATATCAAAATCTCACCTACCAACCGAAAATCGCCAAAATAACAACTTCGCCAATTCAAGCCTAAATCTTCTCTACACCTCCAAAACCCATTCCGATCACGCTCCTAAGTCCCAAATCAACTCCCAAAGCTATCCGAACCATCGAAACTCACATCCAAACCCTCTAACACACAAGTCAACATCCGGTTGACTTTTCCAACTTAAACTCACTCCAAAGAGACTAATTGTCTTAGTTCTTACCAAATCCTCTCCGAACTCTAACTAAACAACTCGATCACATATAGAACCATAATGCAAAGCAATTAGAAGCAGAAATGTGGGAAACAAAGCGGTAAATCATGAGACGACTAGCCGGGTCGTCACACCATAGGGTTATTATTTCGAGCTGATGTCGAAATGTTAACCCGATATGATTCGAACGAGGTCGAATTTTTCATTTGGCGATGGCCTTTGGCAGTAGGGGTGTTATCTCGAGATGATGTTGAAATATTAACCCATTGTAATTCGAGTGATGTCGAAATTTCCATTTGGTGACGGCCTTTGGCCGTAGCAGTGTTATTTCGAGCTAATACCAAAATGTTAACCTGTTGTAATTCGAGCGATATAGAATATTAAATAATTCGAGTGAGGTCGAATTTTTCCTTTGGCGATGGCCTTTGGCCGTAGGGGAGTTATTAACCCATTGTAATTCGAGCGAGGTCGAATATTAAATGATTCGAGCAAGGTAGAATTTTTCATTTGGCGATGACCTTTGGCCGTAGGGGTGTTATTTTGAGCTGCTGTCGAAATGTTAACCCGTTGTAATTCGAAAAAGGTTTAATTCTTCTCTTGGGCGATGGCCTTCGGCCATAGGGGTGTTATTTCGAGCTGATGTCGAAATGTTAACCCATTGTAATTTGAGCGAGGTCGAATATTAAATGATTCCAGCGAGGTCAAATTTTTCATTTGGCGATGGTTTTTGACAGTAGGGGTGTTATTTCGAGCTGATGCCGAAATGTTAACCCGTTGTGATTCGAACAAGGTTGAATTCTTCTCTTTGGCGATGGCCTTTGGGCGTAGGGGTGTTATTTTGAGCTGATGTCGAAATATTAACCCGTTATAATTCAAGCGAGGTCGAATTCTTCTCTTTGGCGATGGCCTTTGGCCATAGGGGTGTTATTTTGAGTTGATGTCGAAATGTTAACCCGTTGTATTTCGAGCGAGGTCGAATATTAAATGATTTGAGTGAGGTCGAATTTTTCATTTGACGATGTCCTTTGGCCATGGGGTTATTATTTCGAGCTGATGTTGAAATATTAACCCGTTATAATTCAAGCGAGGTCGAATTCTTCTCTTTGGCGATGGCCTTTGGCCATAGGGGTGTTATTTTGAGTTGATGTCGAAATGTTAACCCGTTGTATTTCGAGCGAGGTCGAATATTAAATGATTTGAGTGAGGTCGAATTTTTCATTTGACGATGTCCTTTGGCCATGGGGTTATTATTTCGAGCTGATGTTGAAATATTAACCCGTTGTGATTCAAACAAGGTCGAATTCTTCTCTTTGGTGATGGCCTTTGGACGTAGGGGTGTTATTTCGAGCTCATGTCGAAATGCTAACCCGTTATAATTCGAGCGAGGTCGAATTTTTCATTTGGCGAATCATAGGCTACCATACTGTCTGTAGAGCTCGGAGTGGATCTTGGCGTACTCGATTTTGCTTTTTTGGAGAGTTTCAGGTGTCCCTGGGGGAGTCCTAGTTTTTCTTAACCTCTGCGTTTCCTCGGTGAGTGCCAGTTCGATTAATTTCTACATTTTCTGGGTGAGCCCCAGTTTGCTTAATTTTGTTTGCATTGGAGAGAAGATGACGAGGAGTATGTTTCGCTAATTTGGGGGGGACCGTATGCGTTCGTTTCATGCATATATTGGAATTTCCATGTATCTAGTCCCTCCTTCGTTCGACCTGGAGAGCTCGTTGGTAGGCGGGGCAATGAATTATCCCTTGATCTTGGAGACGTCCCCCTCATCGCCTTATTAAAAACCTCCCTAAAAACCCCAATTGGGACAAAACCAGGGTGAGGGAAAAGGAGTACGACTTGAGGGGCGTCATTTTCCCTAGTTACTTTGTAGTAGTTTTCCTTCCATTTCTCTAGTTGGAATGCTCATTTGCTCACTTGCCGGTGCAACACTTGTGTTCCTATTTAATCAAACAATAGAGGGTATCAAAATGAGATTTTCCTTACCTCGATCCAATGAGTCAGTGAACGAGAGTAGCCTTATAGCGTTGCTCACTCTGCATGGCGTTTAAGTGGTTGATGGAATGGTGGTTTTTAGATTCAGTAGCTGTATTCAGCTCTCCTTTCTTTTTAAAGGTGTCATAGCTCCATGTGGGTTGGGTTCGCCTTTATTGCTACGGTGTAGAAATCGAGTCCTGGTTCGATCTCGTATGATTAGTACCCAAAACAAGGGAGACATGTCGTACCTTGTTCATGGATCATCCGATGTGTGGGGGGATGCGAGAGTAGGGCAGGATGTGCCCATTCTTTTTCAGGCTTGCGCAACATGTGTCATCCTCTCATATGCGTGCTTTGCATGGATATTGATTATAACTTATGCTTTTATCTAGCAGTCTGATCTGGATTAGTATGTGAGGTTTGCTTACCACTCTTTTGGGTGGGTGATTTCATTTCGCCGGATTTTGGATCTAAAGGAAACTAGGAATTTTTGGCTAAGAAATCCCCACAGATGGCGCCAAATTGTTTAAACAAAAAGTTTAAAACTCTTTTTCCAACTTCAATTATCAATAACAAAGAAGGTAAATCTTAGCAAAGCATAATTAAATTCAGATCTAAACGTATACAACGGGGAAATAACGAAAGGTGAGAACATCTCAGATTTATCGATGTCATAATCTTATATCAAATACGAGAAAAATGGGTTTACATCTTAAGCAAAAAGGAATTATAAGTGAAAGAGTAGAGAGGAAAAAGTGAAGCAAATGGTCATCCGTGAGAAATTCTCCCCCCTCTTCCTTTGAGCTTACCCCCATATATATATAGTTCCTAGAACTTTTGTTCAATGGCCTTTGACCAACATGCTTTCTTGCGACTGTCCCTTTCGTCCTCTCTTGACCACAGTATTGACTTGACATATGCTCATGATGATTTGACCCCGAGGACGGTCGAGGTGTCCTTTGCTATTTCTCCACCTGGGCGGGATCCTGGCTTGGTCGACCCCCTATCATTCCCATTGGGGCGACCACTACGGTCAGATTTTGACCCACAGTGTTAATAAGGATTAGCACCGAGGTCAAGTAGAGAATGTACTAAAGTAGTGGTAGAATAAGCTTAGAATAGAAATAAGGAATATTCCATTAGATATTCTTTCAGTTGTACTTTTTAGGGTTTCTTAGGAATATCCCCTATAAATAGGAAAAGATAAAGAACAAAAAGGGATCTTCTTTACTTTTCTGATAAGAACACATTGTAAAGGGTTGACTACAAATAATATACAAAAGCTTGTCTTGTCCACTGATTACATTGTTCGATATACGCTTTTTATTCACAGGATCCAAAGATTCCTTATCCATCTTCATTTTCTATTACTTCATGTTGTTGTCAGGAAGGAGAATCATCCAATTCATCTAACATTTGGGTGATAAATTCCTCCTTATTATATTTATTGCCATTATCTACATTTATCGCATGCTTTTATTACTACATTCATTGACAATCATTGAGCATTTGTAGTTGGTATACAATATTTTCGGATTCAGCCCTACATCATTAATATATCTAAACGTTAGATCTAGTGGTTATTACATTTAACTAGGATTCACCCTCTATTTTCTCATTAATTCGTTTTAAGAAAAGGTTTAACACTTTTTTGGTAAAACAATTTGGCGCCATCTGTGAGGACTTTCTAGTTAATATTTTAGTTCCTTCTAGATAAAAAAACACGACAACAACCATCTTTTTCTCGTTTGCACGAACTAAAAATGGCAGGGAAAGGAGATGAAAGACTGATAGCAGTAGTGGACATCACTGCCAACCTCTTGAACACTATCAATGAGGTTGACAGAGAAGACAAGGAGAATGCGATGCCGAGCGCTACACCCAGGCGGAGTGACTCGCCTTCCCCCATGGAAGTGTAACCGCTTCACGCAAAAGGGGAGCCTATACGTCCACAACTGAGGAGGTGCCACCAGTAGTGAAAAAACTACTAGAGACGTGGTTGACAAGTACTCTAAACAACATACTCGACAAACCCGTTCAAGGGGCGAGTAGAAGCGCCACACGAGCGGATACCACAACAATCAGCAACGAGCGACCTGCTCCCGCTCCTCTCCCAACAGGTAACACTCACACTGCTATTGATGCAGGTAATGATGCACTTGCGGCCATTCTGAAGAAAATGGAAGAAATGGAGAACGAGAATAAAGCGCTCCGTGACCAAATGAGCGAGCATCAAGAAAGGCTTGATAAGATACCGGGAGCCCCGAAATTGCTACCGAAATGAGACGTCGGCCGGTTCATCGAACAACCGTACATCGAGGAGGCATCCCCGCATGCCATACCCAGACCTTCAAAATTCCACCATATTTGAAGATATACTATGGCACAACAGACCCCGAATATCACATAATTCATTATGTCACAACAGTAAAAGGCAACAACCTCTCAAAAGAGCAGGTACCATCTGTGTTGCTGAAGAAGTTCGGCAAAACCCTAACAGGGGGAGCCTTAACATGGTACTCACAATTACCAGCACCTTCAATAAAAACATTCGAGGAAATGGCCGACAAGTTTCTCACCGCCCACGCCGGGGCTAAGAAGGCGGAGGCTAGAGTGAATGACATATTCGCCGTCAAACAATTGCCTGGCGAAGGACTCAGGGACTTCCTCGCCCGATTTAACAGAGTTAGAATGAGCTTGCCAAACATATCAGAAGGGATAGCAGTGGAAGCTTTCCAAAATGGATTGAACAGGAATGGGTCGAGGGCGACCAGAATGTTGTTAAGCAAACTCATGAAATACCCTCCCACCACTTGGGAAGAAATTCACAACGCGTATTGCTCTAAGGTGAGAGCAGACGAAGATAACCTCAACAGTCCAACCCAACGGCTAACATCAGACCAAACGGAGTTGAGGAAAGACCGTCGTAATGACAGCCGAAAAGATCATTCAGGTCCACGCCTCAACCGAGACAGGCACAAACCATATGTTAGAATGACCATCCCATCATCTCCTCGACACATAGAAGGGACGTCCAAGACACATACAGGGACTCAGCGAAACGAAAGAGGTATGCTTCCACTCTTATCTGCTCAAATTTTTGTGTTTCCCCTTCAGAAATAGTGTACGCACTAGAGAAGCTTGGCCTGAAGGTGAAGTGGACACAAAAGATGAAGTCCGACCCAAGTACCAGAAAGTCGAATGTCCTCTGTGAGTTTCATCAGGAACAGGGTTACAAGACCAAAGACTACATAGCCCTACGACAAGAAGTGGTGAACATGCTTCACCAAGCACACTTGAGGGAGCTGATGAGCGACCGAGGGAGAGCCAACTTCGGCCGCAGACGGGAACAACACCAGGGCCCTCCAAACACACCCTCCCCCGCCCGTACCATCCAAATGATCATCGGTGGAGGCGACGAAGTAGTAATCAATCACGTGAAGTTCACCACCACAAATAAACTAAAGCGGATGATCACCCATGAACGCTATGATGACCTCAAAGACAGTATCATCTTCGATAAGTCAGATACCCACAGTTTTACCTTTTCTCACTTCAATGCTCTTGTCATTACTTTACGTATTTCAGATACTGATGTAAAAAGAATAATGGTAGACGACGGGAGTGGCACGTGTATTATTCACCCTCGTGTTCTCTCACAAATGAGACTCGAGGACAAGATAGTATCATGCTACATAACGCTAACAGGTTTTAACAATGTAGCTGAGCGAACCTCAGGAGAGATAACACTGCATGTTCTGGCTTGGGGCGTCACCCAAAAAAATAACATTTCATGCCACATCATCCCCATTAGGATACTCATCATCATACCAAGGATCAGAGGCAAGCCCATCCACGACGTCATCATCATCATCCTTACTGGGTGTACCATGGTCGTAACCATAAGCTTCATGAGTTGCACGTGCCTTGATGCAGACGCCCTCAATCTCTACTTTGTAAACCTTCCCGGAAGCCTTCAAAGACTTGTACACATCAAGTTGAGCCTCAGTGTGAACCCACATCTCGTACAACTCCTGTGATACACTAGGATCAGAAGAAGTATGAGAAGTAGATTGCTGGGCCTGTTGTTGCTCCTTCTTGGCCTTTAAGGTGACGACCTGTTCATTCATCCAGATAGCTCTACCTCCAAACTCTTGGCCCGCTACTCTAACCTCGCCACCGTGAGTGCCGATGTCTCCGCCTCGTTAGCCTACTCAGACCTACAAACACATACGATACCCTCTAAAACTGCTGCCTCCACCACGACGGCCATCCTAGTCCGTTCAGCCAGATTTAGCTCTGCGACCCTATTACTCAATTCTGCCCTCAAGTCGACGACCCTGGCCTCGCTTTGTTCAGACTCGACCTTTAGGGATGCCACCTGTGCCTGGAGATCTGCATTTTCAGCCATCACTCCCTTTCTCACCTCGAGCTCGTTCTCTTTAGCCTTTAGCGCTCCCTCAAGCATGCTAAATCTGTTGATGGCCCTCAAAAGCTCATCGTCCTTCTCCTTTAGTTCCTCGTCTTTCTGCTGGAGCCCATCACGAAGCGACTGAAACTGGCCATCCTGGCTGAGTAAGTCGGCTAGTGTTCGGTGCTTAGAACGGTACTCTCTTTACTTGGATGTCATTTTCTTAAAAATGATCATCCTCTGCTCTTCCCGCCAATCCCGCTCAATCCCCATGATAAGGGTCTGACATAAAAAAAGAGAAGAGGTCAGTGGAAGCAAGTTACACATAAGAAATGAACTTAACCTAACATGGGAAAAGCAAACTTACTCGCAAGGCCATGCCAGATATACCCAACGACAAATCCACATATTTTAGCATCTGCAGCGTCTTATTCTCAGAATCCGCGCACAGGGGAGCGAAGGCCGGCATCACCCGCTCTGAGTTGGCCAGAAGGTTGTAATCTACGGGGGTGACTATGTGTCGGTCAGGTCCCTCCGTCCTTATATCCACTCGGGTAAACCTCTCTTTAAAGGTTCGCACTTCCTTAGGGTCAACGTCAGAACCCGACCCATCATCTTCCACGAGGACGGTTTTATCCCTTCCCTCCGGTGAAGATGAGCCAACTCCGACTATCGAGGAGGCTCCCTCCTATAATAGGTCACCCCGGCTACTAACAGTCTCTCCCCCATGATAATAGCCGGCATGGGAGCATCCTTAACGTTTAATGAGGAAGCTGCCTCCGTATCCAAATCGATGTGCCTTTCCAACTCGGTATCAACAACGTCGGCTCTTCCAATCTCCACCCTCCGTCTTTTCTGGGGTACCGCCTCCCCCTCATCATAGGATGACTCATCAACTAGATGCAGGACATGGTGATCAGAGGTCTCAGCAGATGTGATGGCTACCTGCGGGGAGGAATCACCCGATGGCGAAACTAGAGTACGACCCCCCTGTACGGGCTCAGCCAGTACGAACCGCATTCCAGCTGCCTGTCGGAATGCAGGCATTGGAGCCTTCGCCTTTTTGGAAGCTCGCTGACCTAACAACAATGGAAGGTCGCATCAAAAGGTGATAGTGAGCGGCAATAAGTTGGAAGGTAAAAATAACACTCACTGGACGAAGTCTTGGGTCCAAAGTGTTTGTAGAAGGATGCCTAGCCGTGAATTCCCACTGTGTGGGGTAACACACGAGCTAGCCAACCTTTAATATCGGAGACGAGAGAAGGTATACCCCTCTAAGTTGAAAGTAAGGAAGTTGTGAATGGGTCGAAAATGAAAGAAGGAGAGGAAGAAAAGAGAAAATAATGAACATATGGCAAGATACTTATGATTATAGTTCAATTGCTCGGGGAACCCGGTAGGATTCTCCACCAGATGCTCGGTCTTGATAAAGAAGTATTTATGCCAAAATTGCCGGTTCACCTTATCATCCATCCCGACTACCAACTCTTTGGTCCCACGATGTCGCAGATGTATCTGTAGGCATATACATTTTATTAAAATTAAATCCATAAAATAATTTGGACTATATTTTAAATTCAAGATATATTGGTCCAAATATATATTATGGGCTAATATAATTGAATTAATTATACAAGTCTAATATAAATAGATTAAATAAATAAGCCTTAATCTATTGGGCTAGCCCATTTAATTGGGCTAAAGTGATGAGCCAACTTCATTATGACCAAGATGTCATCTTTCTAGAGGTCCAGTTTGGTGCCACATGTTAAATGAGCGGCACGCCAAGTCAAGCGGAAGAGCCAATAGGACCATGCCATGTGTTAAAATGACAAGGTATGTCAAGTCAAATCAAAAGGCCAATGAAACCGTGCCACACGTGCAAGTGACATGTTCTGGCCAATCAAGTGCGGCCATGTCACACTTCAATTTGATTGGTCAGAAAGAGTTTATTCTTATCACAACTCCTCCCTTCCACAACTATAAATATGGGTTTTCATACCTAAAAAAAGACACTAGAAGTTATAACAAGAAGCAACAGAGAGCTCATGGATCAAACACCGCAAATTTCTCTACAAGTTTCAAGCTTCAAGCAATCAAGTCCAAGTTCAAGAAATCAAGTTCGAGCTCAAGAATGAAGAACAAATCAAGGTCAAGTTCAAGAAATCAAGCCAAGCTCAAGAACAATATCATCGTTCGTGGCAACAAGCATAGATTCAAGATCAAGCTCAAAGGCCCTTGAATATATTTACTATTGAAAAGTAGAATCAGAGGAATCATAGAGATTGTACACTCAAATATTCGAAATAAAATACTATGATTGTTGTGATATTTTCGGTCTTGATTTTATTTTCTCGATGCAAATTTATTGTCTACAAATTCTGACATGCCCAGTGGGACAATATCTACCTCTCATCTCAACTTTTCAATCACCAGAGTCCAAGAACATTGAAATGGCTTCAAAGAAAATCAACTTCGGTTCAACTTCCACCAAGGATGCTAACTCCAGGTTCTATGCTGATATGGAAAGCATCCTCGATGTTACCTTTGGAAGCTTCGGACCAGTTACAAGGAGAAAAGAAAGCTCTTTAGGACAACAAGCACCCCAAGTGCCATATGCATCAACCCCTATTTTCGGATCTTCATCCTCAAAAGGAGCAAGATCTTCCACAAACGCATATGAAAGAGGAAGCGATGTTGCTGAAAAGATCAATAAAACTCTTGCTCTACTTGATCTCTCTAGATCCAAGCACTCTGCTGTGAAGGAAGATTATGATGCTTCAAGTGATGGATCCTCCCCACTTACACCATATATAGTTAGCCAATCAAGGATCAATCTGTGTGAAAATCCATGCTACTCTCCGTCGTCCACGACAATCATGCAAGCCATGGTGATAAATACTTCATCTGTGAAGGAGCAGTTGGCAAACTTGATGGAAGCAATCACTGGCTTGACCAAATGCATGCAAAATCAAGAGGCTAGAATCGAAAAGAAAACAGACATGGTGGGAATCTTGATGGAAGAAGAATCCACCCATGTACCCGGAAAGCTCCCAGAAGTTCTAGAGAGTGACTCTCCCCCAAGACAAGTAGCGTCCACTAAGGCTATCCCTGTCTCATCTGAAGGGATGATTCAAATCGATCAACAGAAAGAGTTCATTGAAGGAACCATTAAGAACAAATATGAGGTTGCTGCCAAATCCTCCCTTACATATGCAAAGCCATACAATACAAGGGTCGATATGTTGAAGATGCATGCTGGCTATCAACCTCCAAAGTTTTAACAGTTTGATGATAAAAGTAACCCAAAGCAACATGTGGCGCACTTCGTGGAGACGTGCAACAATGCTAGGACTTATGGAGATTACCTCATCAAGTAGTTTGTCCGCTCGCTAAAAGGAAATGCTTTTGACTGGTACACAGACCTCGATAGCTAGGACCAACTAGAGCAAAAGTTCCTCAATCACTTTTATAGCATGAGACGTACTGTGAGTATGATAGAACTTACAAATACTTGTCAATGAAAGGGGGAATCCAGTTAATCACGTAAAGAAAGAAAATGTGGAGGTGCACCACCCTCAAAATCCATGACATCCAGTGACCTTGGAGGATTTCTTGCCATGTTGGTTCTGCATGAAGATTTCCCCTGATGGTATTGAAGCCTCTTGTTGCAATGATGATAAAGGGGAAGAAAAGAGTGACGACCTACCATTAGCACCATCTTCAGAAAAGCTCATTGATTCTATTCCTCAAGAAGCTAATGCGTGCGAAGAAAAGGTTACGTTCACAAATGATGATTTTCTACTGGTGATACTCTTCAGAATCTCCCATTATACTTGGTTGGATATATGTGCGATGAAAGAATAAATTGAATTTTGGTTGATGGGGGATCCTCAGTGAACATTTTTCCAATCCGCACTATGAAAGAACTTGGTATTCCCATGAATGAAATCTTATAAAGTCTTGTAATGATCCAAGGATTCAACCAAGGGGGCAAAAGAGCCATAGGTGCGATCAGGCTGGAAATCACCATTGAAGATATGCAATCAAGTGCATGGCTACATGTGATCGATGCAAAGACTTCATACAACGTCTTGCTTGGAAGGCCTTGGATACATGAGAATAAAGTAGTCCCATCTACCTACCATCAATGTCTAAAATACTACGAGGGTGAAGTCGAGAAGAAGATAGTTGCTGATGATGAGCCATTCATCGAGGTTAAGTCACACTCGATGCAAAGTTCTACTAGAAGAACCGCATTGTGAAGGAGCTAAAAGCTGATAATGGCATCAAAAGCAAGAATGACGAGCCCACAACTAAAAGAGCAGAGGTGACT